AAAATGTTTTGCCGTTCACGGGTCTTCTAAGGGAATGCGCTATAACATCGAGTAAAACACATCTTATCGAAAATCAGCGATAGGGCGTCAGTTGCCTAGTACATATCGACACCTTTTTTTTAAACCCCACATCTGCTCTCCCGTGAATTTCCAGGAGGCACGAAAGATCTCCTTTTAAAAGTGTCCAATCGTCCGATCCTGATCAAATATGTGTGTTCGTAGGCCTGTTCTGGTATTGCTTTATCTGCCAAGACAGACAAACTTGAGAAAAATCGAGTGATTGTACCTTTTTTGAAGGTCTCTAACCAACTTGTCTGAAATTCACCGGAGAACAAATGTGGGGTTTAAAAAAAGGTGTCGATATGTTGCTAATAGAGGTCTCTGATAATACCACGTCAGGTCAAAGGTCAGGTCACCAAGGGTCAGCACATGAACCCAATTTACTGGGACTGTGCGATGCATGTTCTATGGCCAATTTTTCATTTCCAACTCAATAATGTTGGTTATAAGACCACCAGGAACGGTTTGGGTCACTTCCTGGCGGAGGTCAGGTCAATGTCAGGTCAAAAAACGTCAAATTTCAAAGTTGATATTTTTGCATAAAATGGGTATTGATTCGATGCAGCTCGTCACGGCAAGTTTTTTTCGTTTGACTTGGCCCAAAAAAGATATCGATGTAAAATTTGGTATGTGAATAAAAGTCAGAAGGTAGAGGCTATCTTATATATTCCATTTTTAAGATATGAAAAACGTTTTGAGTTTATAGGCTATTATATTCATTTTTTTATTTTGGGGGGTCAAAATTCAAAAATTTCAGAATTTCGAGATAACAGTTCAGTAGCCCTGGTAATTCTACATCTTTAACGTCTAACATTTTTCTGTATCTTCAAAGCTGTAGGCCTGGTAGCTGTTCCTGCGAAACCTTTTTTTGTCGAAAACGGCAGAACATGACATCACTGTGACGTCATTTCCGGCCAACCTATCATAGCCTTTGGGGAAAAATTTTTGATCGCAATGTGTAAAAATGATAGGTAACCGGGAGGGTACTGAAAGTTTGCTGACGATCGGCGCAGCGGTTCTGGAGATATATCGAAAAGTCTGGAGGGGGAGGAGGGGGGGGGGGGGGGGCAAAAAATAGCTCCCCACCAGCGCGCGGGCTAATGTTGCTCAAACACGAGTTTTATGGGCCTCCAACACGAGTGTGTCCCTCCAATACCGACGGACGATTGTCCCAGAAACCGGATGATTCTATTAATTTAACCTTGTAGCCACACTTTTTGCAGAGTGCTCGGATTTCTTAGGTGATTTCGTTATGACGATTTTGGCGACGGTTGAAATGTGGAAGAGCCGCCCTGATTGGGATCCAAATTAGTCGCTCCCCTTCTCCTTAACCCTCACCGGCACCGGGGGGGGGGGGGTTGATGCACCCCCTAAGTTTGATGCATCCCTTGAGGTTTTTTTTCGCAAATAACTCGCGTAAAAAGCGGCTGATCGCGAAGAAACTTTTCGTACCCACGCATTCATCAAGTTTACACCTACCCTGAAAATCTCATGTCCCTGACCCAAATGACCTTTGACTTGTGACCTATTTTCCGAGACCATGTTTGGCCGGAATCGCGATTCAGCGTATGTCGGCTCGTATTGGTCGCGCGTTTGCAGTCTTTTCGTGGTTTGAAGCGTTCAAATATGTGATTTGATGTTGCTCCCACGCATTAGGGTGGATGTCAAGGTCACCTGAAGGTCAGGTCAGGTCATTGACATTTGATGACCTCAGTTCACTTTTTCGAGTTTTCCTACATGTTTCTAGGCTACTTTTTGGAGCTGAATACGAATTAAGCAGCCATTTAAACATTTTCGAAGTAGTTTTGGTGCCTTCGTAACATGTTACGAAGCTGTCAGAGACGGTTGACACGTACAACGAATACCCGGCAGGACCCCTACTGGTTGACCTGACCTGGCCCGACCTAGCCTAAATGCATAAAAACATCATCTGTGATCAAAACTAACTTGACATTCGTGATCAGCACCCCGAAAAACCTCATAGCAGCCTTACTTAACGACGTTCTAACAGGTCTTGATTTTTCCGACTTTTGGGTCATTGACCTGACCTGGAAGGTCAACCGATGACCTAGGACCTTAAAATCGGGTATCATCGGCTTCCTCTCGTCACGGGCAACACGCTCGTTTTTTCCGCGAAGCTCTAGCTCGATCAGGGGCCAAACGCGCGGGGGTGGGGGTCGTACCCCCCTTGTGCCATCGAAGGACGCAAAATGACTTGTGCCGGCGAGGTTTAAACTTCTTCCACCAGCTCTTAACGGTGAGAACTGGTACCTACTCTTGTCAGGCAACGTCCTTCTGTGTGTTGCCAGCTTAGATGATGCTCATAGCGCGAGTACGCACCGCCAACTGTTAGGGTAGACCCTCAAGCCTAGGCCGTTGGGCGTTGTTTATGCGCCGATCACTGGGTGATTTTTATCTTTGCTGATAGGGCTCAAGAAACGATAAATAATAAGAGTGTGAAATAATAAGAAGGAGAATGAAATTTCTTTCTTAGTTCGAGTGAGTTTCACAAGCACACAGCTGCCAATCGCGCTTCGCTGGCTATTTTCAAGGACAGCAGTTCTAGGTGTTCATCGAGTAGGTAATGATCGATAAGACGGCGGCTTAGCAAGCCTCGTCGATGCCCCTGGTATGACTACCATGGAAGCCAAAGAGCTTGTTACCGTTATTATTTCGACACCCAACAAGGTCCCATCAGCACCCATTCAGGGGAAGATCGCACTGCATTTGGCTATGACATCACAAATTGACTGTAGAAGAAGTACGAAGAGCTCTTGATGACACTCCAGGAATAATATAAAAAAGAAATCAATATTCATAGCTACGATTTGGGGTGGAGGGATTTGTGTAGAAAACGGGAGCAGGGGGAATGATCGTTTGTAGGTATATAGGAAACACATGGCGGATCAAAGGCATGGGTGGGTACCTACTGGGTATGAAACGAGAAGAGGGAAGGACGACTAACACTCCTTTCTCTTTCAAAATTTTTATCGGTAAATCCTAGGCTATTGTAAATCTGTTTTTGTTCACTACTTGTAAAAAATCCCTGAGTTCCTTCTCTTGCCCCTGCTAAACATCTTTCGTGACGTTCCTACGTTTGCCGAGGAAATTACCCATTACCAACAACAATTGGCAATTTGCAAGCTTGAATAGGTAGGTACCCCGCATCGGTTATTACAAATACATCGCAAAAGAACAGCGCATACTTCTCACAGACGCTGCACGCGCCATCCAGTCCATCATCCAACGCACTCTGTCCAAACTGATGGCACGATTTCCGTTATTCTCCGACGATGGACGATGTAGCGAGTCGAACCGTAGAGACATTATTCCACGGCGACCAGCTGCTCGTGGCACACTCGACCCGCTCGGTGGCGGTCACACCGACCGGACACTCTTCAGAGCGGCGAATCCAGTCGGCAGAACTGCACACGTCTTCTACCCTTCGTATCTTCTAAACTAGGTGTTGGTGCTCCGACTTGTCCAATGCACAGAAGCATCGTGCAGTAGGTAGGTATACTCGTATATACCTATACCTATTTATTGTTCGGGTTTCAAATCACGGCTAGACTATCTACTGAAGCCATTCAACCTTCTTGGTCTATTTACTGAAGTCGGAAATCCTCATGTGCGATATGAGGCATAGCTCGCGATAATACCTATTTGGGTTTTCAGGATGCACTTTTCTCAGTTCACATGTACGTGATGTACCTACTGTACCTATCAAAAAGTCCCCAGATTCAATATGGATCTCCTTGTCACCAATTGTCACCGTTTAAAACGACTGCTGGGTAACCTAGAATAATCAAGCTCTGATAAGCATCACATGGTTTTCAAATCATGGATCCCATAATGTCTTGCCTGAAACACATTTGTGTGCTTAAGTGTTCATAAAAAGGCAAACAATATATTGAAACAGATGTCATGAAAAGATACCCAAACCATTAAATTATAGGCATCCTTCCATGGCATGTTAGTCTTCAATAGTCCATAATCCCACACCTACCAGTTGAGGCATCCCATGGAAATGTCAAACTATGACATCCATTTGCAATGCATGCAAGAACCAAACAATTTCCAGCATATTGGTGTAACTCCTGCTGACTGGACTATTTCTGAACCAGGAGCATGCAACAATGACAGCTTACAACATTTGATGTGATGATGATAATGATGATGATGATGATGATGCTTCTTTGCTACATGATCAATGTGTCTGTTCCCATCACTCCTCCAACCTCCTCTATACTACTCTAACCTACTCTTCATTGAAAAATTGTTCCTGTTGCTCCTCCAACGGCCTCCAACCTCCTCTCAGCTCCACTTCTCGCCACCATTATTCTCCTCCCTCATTCCAAACAAGGGTCAGGAGACACACATAAAACAAGCATGAAAAAACTTATGAGAATGAGTGGTACCTAAAGAAATGTTTTTGGGGATTCAAGAGATATTTTCAAAAGGTAATTGATTTGTTATTCCCTTTAAAGTAAAAATTGTGTTAATCTAAAAATAAATAAATATTTTGTGCACTTTAAATTGGCTTCTCTTAACCTGCTTATTTCCTCTCTCAGGTGTTCCTATGGTGGCATTGAGGGCCCCAATGCACCTCCAAGCGCCTCTTCAATCTCAATTATTATAATGAATTTTTTTTAGGAGCAAGCAGAACAAACCCAGTGTATCCGTCGGTAGGCAAGTAGAAATGTCAATCCTCCTCGGAACCGCCCGACCCGCCCACGCTGGCTCAAAGCAAAATCTTGCTTTTTTAGTGAATTTTGAACTCTGAGCATTTGTTATTGTTATCAAATGATAAATATGCAAACACCTTCGCGAATACGGAATATAGTTAGCTCGGTGCCTGCTGATGTAGGTACTCAATAATTTGCTTTGACTCTCGGCAGTTGACACATTCCCTTTAAAATGCTAAAAAAATACCTACCTACCTTTAACTTACGAAGACAAGATGAAGCTGTCGCACACACCCGTAGATAAACCTCGAGCACACTTGTTATTTATGCATTTCACTTAAAATAATCAAAATCGCCCTAATTGTGCGAATCGATCGGATGAAATAAAATTTTCGCTACCTGCGCTGAAAATGCCGCGCGAGTACCCGAGAGTGCGGTTTCAAGGTTGCTACGAAATACAGGAGCAGCCGTGCACACATGACGTCATCGGTTCAGCTAAGACTGCCAGAAAGCGCCGGGCATTGACCTATTATAGACTGTATAGGACCTATAGTCTTGTATAGGTCAGTGGCGCCAATATACCCTGAGTGGCGCCGGGCAATTCCTTTTTCCAACCAAGCAACCGCGCTCAGAGCAAAAGGCCGGGCCGGGCTACTAAAATGCCGGGGCCTTGCGAGCGCAATTGCACACCGGAGAAACGGATTTTATTTTACTGCGGGCAAAATGACGGCAAGGTTCAAGAACCCTACAGGTTTACATGACCTAGGGGAAAAACCGAGATCCCCAAACTTGCACTACTTTCCTCTTTCGAACCGTGCAGATGTTTATGCGTGATGTCATAGGTCAGTGACCTGAGCTGAACTGTAAAAATGTGGTAGATGCGGTAGATGCTAAATAATCCTGCTTTAACCGAAGGCTGGTAATGCCAATTTTAGTATTCATTCTGCTACACGTCCCGAGACATCGCGAAAAGTCGTTACACCAGCCAGCCTCAGGCGGTGAGGGTCGCAAAATTCCGCGTCTTTCCTCGTGGGCTATGGTAGGCAGTAATTAAATGAGCAACACGTTTTCATAGTCGTATTCACTTTATGCAACATCTATCACGAAATATGGCACTAGTGCCTCGGAAAATTTTCCCATCTAAGCGCGACACCTGTTATAGGGCACAAGCATCACATGCCCGTCGTACAGTTATACATGTTCTTATACCAAACATACACTTAAATGAATGACAAATGCCGCCCAAGGTCTGCTCCTATTTCAACTGCTCCTGAGCGAGAACACGGCCAACAGAGCAATTAGGAGAGTGCATTTCGCCAGCTGACGCCTTAATCTGGAGGGAACCGCTCGACACACCTTGAGCGAACTGAGCGCATGGAACGATGAGAGCACTCCCAGGGCGGCCGGTGCGGCCATCTCCCACACACGGTGCAGATACAGCCAGACACCCACAGCGGGCACCTAGCCGAGGTGATCACTCGGCTAGGGAGACACAGCTGACGACAAAACCGGCCGCTCCCCGGGTGAGCACCAGCCACAAACACTCGGTGCAGATGGATGCAAGGCGCGGCGCTGTCACATCCTCACACACCGCGCGACGCACCATCAAAACGTGATAACACAGCCGTCACTCACACCGGCACCACGGACACAGCGCTCGGTCAGACACGGCCGCCGGCCCCGGGCGCACAGCGGACACAAAACCTGCGCACAGAACCTAAACCTGTGCACTCGACAGCCAGAAGCGCCGACCGCCGCCGCCACGCGCGGCTAGCGTTCCGCGCTGAGATCTGCAGCGCCGTGCTCGCAGCTGTACCCTGTACGTCAGCGCCACCCCAGCCGCCCGGCCGTCCGACTAGGGTGCTGGATCACTGGGAATGCTGTCAGCGGGCCCCGCCTCAGAGTCCGCTACGGCCGCCGGCGGACTGGCCGCGGCCGGGTCAGCGGTCTGCTCGGAGTCGCCGGTCGCGGGCTCATCCGACGGCCGGCACGGACTCGCCGGCTCGTCCGCCGCTGCGCCGCCACCGGCCGGGCCATTCTGGCTCGGAGCCGAATCCGTATCACCAGAACCCTGTTCGGCAGCGGACGCCAAGTTCCCGCCGTCGGGCTCCGCTATTTGGTCATCGCTCGACGACTTGTCTCCAGCCGTCGCTGTCTCCCCCGCGTCCGTATCTGCCGTGCTGTCGCCCTGTTTCGGCGGCGGCGCGGCCTGCTCCGGCTCGTGCGCCACGCCATTGGCCGTCTCCTGGTTCTCCAGCTGGGAGAGACGCGCCGACAGCCGGCGCGAATGGCGCCGCCCCTCGGCGCCCTCCACCGGCCGCTCCAGCCGCTGCCGTTTGGGGGCCGGCGCGCTGCTCGGTGCGCTGGAGGTGCTCGGTGTGCTCGACTGAGAATCAGCGGCCGGTCGCTTGGCCTTGTTCCCACCGCGCTTCCTCCTGCCCGACTCGACGCTACCCGGCGGGAGACCGTCTTTCCGCGGCCGGCCCCTCGGCCTGCCGCGCCTTGCCGGAGTCTTGACCGCTGCCTCCTCCTCCTTCTCCTCTTCAGGTTTCTCTTCCTTCTCTTCAGTCTCCGCAGGAGACTCGGGAGCGGCCTCTGACGCAGGCGTCGGCTCCGTCGCTGATGTAGACGATGACGGTGTAGAGGGTGCCTCTGCGACGTCCTTCAACGCTCTGGCACTGTACGTCCTCTTCGGCGGCCCAGACAGCGTATTCAGCTTGGCTCGCCCGGCGGCCAGCGGACCAGAGGTCACGCCGCGCGTTGCCGCTGTCACCATGGCCAACGCCTTCTCCAGCGGCGGGTAGCGGCGCCGGTTCATGGGCGTACCCACCACGAGGCGGACGATGGGCCCGGCGCCGGGCCGCCGCCGCGGCGGCCGGCCCTTGACAGGCGCGATCGGTATCAGCTTGCCGTTCAGCGAGTCGCCCGATTTGATGTAGGTGTAGTTGCCTGGTCTGAGGCGCTGCGACTTGTGGAACCAGGCCACTATCCGGCTCAGGTACTCAGAGCCCGGCGCGCTGGCCGCGCGACCTGACGTCTCCTGCACCTGCGCCTGCGCCTGGTTCGCGGGCTGGGCGTCGATGTTCGGAGGGGTGACGGGCCGCGGTCCGGGAGCGGCCTCTGCCGGAGGTGGCGTGGGCACGCTCTCACGTGGCGTCGAGGAGGGCAGTTTGATTTTGAAGCTGGTGATGGCCGACAGCGGCGTCAGCTGCACATTCGGCGAGGACCGAGAGGGCGCCGCGGCGCCGGACTGGCCTCCAGCCACCGGCTGTTTGGGCGGTGCCGGCGCGATGTTCGGCAGAGATCTGGGCGGTGCCGAGGGTGGAGCAGCCGGCCGGGTGCCGCTGCCACCCGGACCATGACCCTTCTTGTTGACAGCGGGCGGGGGCGCCGGCGGCGCGGGCGCGCCGGGCGGGCGTACCTCCAGGGAGAGGACCCCGTTGGCCACGGCCTGCTGGATGGCGGACGAGTGGCTGGTCAGAGTCTTCATGATGCGCTGGTGGGTTTTCTGAGCGCCCGGCGGCAGGTTGGCCGGTGGCGGCAGCCGCTCGCCGCTCGCCGGGCGGACCGCGCCGGACGGCGCCTCGGGCCGCGGACAGGAGTTGGAGTAGGTGCGCGTGGGGCGCGCCACAGCCGTCTGTCGACCGCCGCTGCCTCCCGAGGATGTCCCGAGACCGGGCGGCGGCTGCTGCATTGGCCACCGGGCCGGCGGCGCCGCCTGCGACAGCGGCGGCATGCTGCGAGTCTGAAACAGAGACAGGTCTGGTCAGACCGACAGCAGTCCTGTCATCCAGCGGCACCACACGCCGGCTGACTGTAGCGACTGAACGTGACTCGCTAATTCAAGCCTTAGTTACTGTGAAGAGACTCACTGCCCTTTTGAGTTTTGAGCGCGCCTACGGTACGCAGAGCCAAGTTTAAAACTTGCACAAACTACAAACCGTAAAAGCGGCCTTCGAAGGATGGTGCAATAGCTCGCGGTGAACAAAGATCAGTTATCGATGCCGTGAGGCATAACCATTTATCAGGCGAGCGGAAACCCATGGAAACAAAAATAGTCCTAACTTTAACCATCGCACAAAACTTAATTTAGAAACGTTTAAGTAGCTCTGTAAGTGAAAAAATAAGCGTTGCAAAAGAATCTCGACACTATGCAGCTCAGCTGATAATGATTGCATGTGACCACTGTGAAGAGTCTGTCCGTGTGTGGCGCGTGGCGACGCAGGTTGTTTACGGGTCTCACCTTCTGAGAGGCCAGTTTCTCCATGGCGTTGGCGTCCTCGTAGCCCAGGTCCCTCCACGGGTCCACCTCGATATCGACTGGCTCTCGCATCAGGTGGTCGCTGGCGTCGGCGTCTGCGGGCCGGGCGACACGGTCAGCTAGCGCGCGGTGCACGGAGGGACACTGGCTAGGGCCCGTGGGTTAGGCTAGGCTTTGGGGCTAGCGGTTTAGGCTTAGGGCAGTGGGAGGACGTAGGAACTCATTTAAATGTAGACAAAGAGTCATTGAAATTGACGGGGACAGTCAGAGAAATGAAGAGTGAAGCACTCGCGCACGTGCACGTAACAGGAATCTTTCTGAACGAATCTGCAGCAGAAGGACATACGTGACAAAGAGACACAGTCCACCAGAAAGCGCCCTTCTAACCCAGAATTGTGGACCCAAAAACAAAACTGTAGGAGGACCAGGCGCGAGAGATAATTCCCATGACATTCTGCTACGCTGTGGACCAACATTTGCCTTACAGAATTAGTTATACAACCGAACAAGACACAAATGACAGAACATGATGCTTTTGACTGAGAATCTTATCCACTGCACTCAAATGCATTGGGAAAGTTACCGCTTTCACAGAAGCGGTTCGTTCCTGGCAGCACTGGCGCCCACTCACCGTCAGGCGGCTCCTCTTTGACCTCGGTCAGCTCCACTTCCACAGCCGACAGCAGCTGACACACGCCGGCCCCGTCATCGCTCTCATGAGACGCGGAGCGCTCCAGAGCGCGGCCCGGCTCGGCCGGCGCGCCGCCGGGGTGGGAGGGTGGCCCGAGCGCGCCGGGGTGGCCGGCCGGACTGACAGCCGGGCCCGGGTGGCCGGCTGGGCTGAGTGTGCCGGGGAGACCTGCCGGGCTGAACGGCCCGGGGTGGCCGGCCGGACCGAGCGCGCCAGGGTGGCCGGGCGGCACCATAACGCCGGGGTGGCCGCCGGGCGCCGCCGCCGGCCAGCACACCGGTCCCGGCGGCCCGTGCGGTGCCCACACGCCTGGCGGGCCCCGTACCATCATCGGTCCGGGCACGCCCATATTCGCAGGCGGTGGCGGCTGAGGCTGCTGCTGCTGTTGCGGCGGCGGCTGCGGCTGAGGCTGTGGCGGCGCGGGTCGCCGCGGCGCTCCGCCCGGCGCCGCTCCACCGCCCGGCGGCGGCAGCGGTGTGATGCACACGATGGCGCGCTCCTCGCCGAAGCCGCGCAGCCGAGCCGTGCGCCAGTAGTGGTCGCTCAGCTGG